TCTCCCCTCCCCCTCTCCCTCTCTCCTCCACCCCTAACTTCTCTCGCTCATCGCTTGACGCAATTTCGGCACCCTCAGGTTGAGGCACAGTTGGAAGGTGAGTAATACCAAGTTAAACCATCCTACTGACAGACTGATCCATCGATAATGAAAATGGTGGAGCAGGTCGAAGTGGCTGTGAAAGATAGGAGGTGGGAGGGGGATTGCTGTCGCAGGGGAACGAGCACATTGCACCAATCCTGGAAAGAGGGGCGGTGGAATGGGAGGAGGGGGTATCGGATAAAGTTTCCTGAACATTCTCACCCCAATTCCACCTAATCGAAAATTTGAATCAAATATGAAGCAAAATTTGCTAACATGGGCTACTTCGTTTGTACTTTCTGCAATATCGCATGTTTGAGGTTTGATTCTGGAGCTCAGCTCACCTTAAATTTGCACACACTCTTGAACTTTATTGGCTGTCCAGTGAGATAGTGTGCTGACGAAACGCTGTTTGCGAAAATGTCGAGCAGCAGAGGACGAGTAGTGGGTGCATGGACACGGAAGGTAACCACCTGAAGCTTACCAGATCTTTCAGATGTTCAGGGATTCTTCGATGTTTACACATACCCCGTTCGACACCGACTGCATGACAAATCGCTTCAGTGACAAGCCATTGATAGTTGTGTCTTCCGAGTCGAAGAACTTAAGATTGTAGTGGAAAATCAGGGAATCGCCTGATTTTTCCGGCAGTCTTATTGCTACCGACGTTGCTCCCGTCTTGTCAGTCTGAAATCATTGCAATCTTCCACATTGACTACGCTTGTTTCCTAGAGCAAGGGTTAAGATATAACCGGGAACTTACATAAAGCGTGCTCTCCAGTTTGTTATCGACGAACGAGAGACCATACTTGAAGAAAAGACTTCTCACGAATGGAATACGCTCAAACTGTTTCAATGTGAGCGGTCGTGGTAGCAGCTGCCAGTTTGGATCATGAGGGAGGAACTCGTAGATAAACTCCTGAATAATGAAGTCAGTCATAAAAACATTTGCTAACGACCGATAAATTATTTTCCAGTGCATGGGTAACCAGATCACGACGGTAACAGCTGTCAAAACTTCAATTTTACCGATTTTCAATCATACCTCAGGATCCGTCATGAAGTAATGATCATCATATTCATAACGCAGATTACCATCGCTACGGTTCTCACTTTCGCTTTCCTTCGCATTTCTGAAATCATTCATTCTTAGCCCTCGCAAATGACTACGACGAGGTAATTGTGTTATAGAATTAAGTGAAGGTGAAGTGCATGAAGGGTTTCTTATGCGGCGATCAGACAGCGGTCTGATCTGACCATCACCCAACGAGCCCTTCATCCAAACGGTATCGAATGGTGATGCTTCATGCTCGCGGCCATTCTTTTTTGCTAGTACCATATTATACAGGGTGGGCCAAAATTATGAGGACCAAGACATTGTGTCGTTAAAAACGCATAGTAGCTTGATGGAACAAACAAACTTCAGGGAAGTGTTTTAACTCTTATCTCAAAGTAATTCCAGAATAGAATTGAGATCTGCCACCTGCCCCGTTACACGAGCCTTCAGATGAAGGGGGATGGCGCGTGCGGTGGCACGCAACTGATTTCCAGGCCTTCTGCTCTGCTTTCTTCAGGGAATCAAAGTTTTGTGGGGCATTTATTTGCGCTTGCATCCAGGGTGTAAAATACAGAAATCTAGAGCTATTAGGTGGAAGGTTCCATTGTAACAATTCTTCGAAAGCAACGAACTCGAAAAATCGCTTTTTAGAGAATTTTTGCTTTATTCTTGGGTGCTCGGTCCTGTAAAAGTCCCAAGTAGACTACTCGTGTGGCTTTCTATCCACTACAGATGTGGAGTCTTTAGAGTGTCTGGCTGGGTTTTCACATCAATTTTTTCATTTTGGGAGTACGAAAGTCGACAAGGGGAGACCTAGTTTCTGCATCTGATAATTATCCTGGTGGTAACTGTAACTTTCGAGTCTCCGAATTTTCCATCTGTGGTGGTTCCAAACTTATTGAAGAGTTGAACTGTTGCTCATAAGAGCTTCCCTGATAGGTTAGACTGCTGCTAGATGTAACGTGCCAGAGCCCCTAGTGAGTTCAATTTGAGGACTGACGTAAGTGAAGTAGTTATTTCACTAGTTTTGAGAACTGCATGAAATTTGGTTTCATTAGGAAGAAGACATTGTACCCTCTCACATAGTGCAAAAGGAGATGAAAATGGAGCGACTCGGAAAAAAGTGGATATGACCGCGCGCGCACGCGGTCCTCATAATTTTGGCCCACCCTGTACAGTATGGAAGGGGACAAAGGAACGACATTTGTCTCCTCATCCAAAACGGAACTATTCATAGTTTGTTTGATTCCAACTTCCAACAAAAAATTGCAAGCTCACGGGATGCGGCCAACGAGATCCTCAACGAATCGTGGACCATTACGACGTTTTCGAAAACGCTGGGTAGGAGGTAGTTCAATCAGAGCTAAGATTACAAGAAAACTATCCACAAGGGAACGGAATCAAACCCCCGGGTTGGGACCAGCACTCCGCCCCAAAAGCGATCCGCCCACTAGTTTAGTTGGACGAGCAGCGTTGCCAGCAGCGGCACAACTGAGCAACTCGACTGGAGTGTGGGGCATGGTGTTACCAAACGCGTTGCGCTGAACTCGTTCATACGTCCGCTTTCTGAGCTGTTACCTGTTCATGAGTGAAAACCAACGGCCAAAAAAGGGGTCCCTTTTGCATTTTTTTTTTCTCCGTTTTTTCGCCACCGACGTACTATTGAGCACCAGCTTTCTCCTCTAAACCCTTCTTGAACCTAACGTAATCGCTGCCTTCAACAGAGCACGACAAGGGAGCTAAGGCCTTGATTATGTGTTGCTAGGGCTGCTATTCGCATAAATATTAGGTTGGAAAGAAAGTCCTGCAACACTTTTTCAAATTTTTGATTTTAATTTTATCTTTTTGGTTACAACTCCTGACCGGTCTTATATCTACCATGAGTGTCCACCACTTGTCTCCAACGCTCAGAAAATTTCTTGATGCTCCTTCGCCAAAACCCAGCGGAGTGCGGGTCGAGAAAGGAGGCGACCTCACTTTCGAGTTGGAGTTGATCGTCTAATTATTTCGTTATCAAGATGATGATTTAAAGGTCCAGGATAGGTAGCACTTCATTTACAGGCGCGTCTAGAGGGGGGGGGGGCGAAAACGCCAGGGGAATTACGCTAAGAGAGGAAAGAAATCTTGCCGCAACTCCAGAATTTCTTACCGGGCTCATTTCGGATCATGGTGATTCGCAATGTCATGAAAGAAATGAATATTGTCGCGGTACGAGGGCTCTTGACGAGCTACCTCGGCCAGCTTCTGGTACTCCACAACCTAGGCCACTGCCTACACAATGGTGCCCATAACGAAGGGTATGTAGTGGAGCTTCTGTAAGAGCCCTACCTGTAATGGAGTGTGAGGGATGCTGCTGGCTTCTTATAAAATATCAAAAGATCGGAAGCGCTGGTAAAGGTGAAACACGCTGTATCGCTGAACGGCATGCCATTAGAAGCTATTGCAGATAGTGTCAGTCGTTGACACGAATCCATGGTTTTGTAGACATTTGTACTAGACAGTGACTCGGAGTACGGATTTGCTAGTGGTCGAGATTTTTTGAATTTTCTTGGATAACTACTGACTGCAGCACTTATATCCACCTCGTGGATTGAAGCCTTGAGAATGCTCTACCATTTGGTAGTCATAAATGTTACCTATGAATTTTTCAGAAAAAAGAAAATTTTGAAAGAGTGTTGCAGAACTTTCTTTCCAACCTAATACTACAAGATCACTACAAGATTATGAACGCATAATACTACTAAGAGAAATTTCAAGGGTATGCTATACGAAGTTTTTACGCTTCCACAAAATATCCATAGTAAGACATTAGTAAAAGTAACTACGAAAGTGTATGGATGGTAAGGTATGTGTTTATTAGGAACTAAGTAGAAATACTATCCCATTCATTTGATTAATCAACACGTTGACGACATCGCGCGTTTTGCGTTTTGCACCGCGTGGGACAGAGCGATTTTGCGAGCGCCGCCGCCGCACACCAAATCCATGGATTTTGAGCTGTAAATACGCAATACTTAGATGCGATGAAGTGTTTTCAATAATGTTCGATCTGTCTAACTTATCGGGAGTTACAGTAATGGAAGTTCGACCGAAATGACGTGTTAAGGCCATGAAAAGGCAAATTTTACTTACTTTCCCTTTAGTGGTTCCAAAATTAATTTGGACGTGGTTGTTTCAGTAAAACACATATCTTCCCATACGAATAGGTTTGTATTTACTTCCATTATTCTTTTTATCTACATCTTCACGTTAATTAGAAGAAAACGAGGAATAAACTGTACGGATATTTTCGTAAGGTCTGGAATTCTTCTGCCAAACTAAAGAACATTTAGCCTTTTTGTGAGCCATGTGGTTTTTAAGTATGCTAATGTATGGCCTATAGAATGAGTACAAAGACCTTAGGAATAAGTCGCAAGCGCAAGAAAAAGGGATGACTTGGGTGGGACGCGTTACCGCGTCACAATGTCCCACGAGGTGTGCAAAGTGGGACGCGCTACCGCGTCACGCTGTCGTCAACGTGTTAATTATACAAAATTCTACTTATATTTATACAGGTTACCAAAAAGCTCTGATCCTTGCTATAATTAGCCTCACATTCACATTTGTGCAAAATAAACGGATGTAAGGTGAGGCCGGCGCGCACGCAAAATCGCTCCTGTCCCACGCAGTCTAAAGAGCCAGAATTCACACTGTCGCCAATGTGTCAATGGTAGGCGATAAGAAAAGAAAGCAAGCGATAAGGGCGGAGAGCCATAGAGCACAGTTATCACCAAATGCCAGTTTTACCCTTTGCCTCCGGGACAAAAAAACTTTACCACTATGGAAAACCCAATGAACGGGTATACAAAACTTTGTTTTTGAAAGCAAATGGTTCAAAATCTCACACAAGGTGGCGTGCTCCCCAGTTGCATTGGACAAAACGCCATGAGCCGTCAAGATAAACCGCATTCCATGTGTTCCTGAATAATAACAGAATTGGTTGTTTGAAGATTTAAAGAGATGCACATTAAACCTTGCTCCCATTTCTCTTTATGATAAGTTCTGCAAACAACGTGATCGGAATCGGAAACAATTAAATCTTTGGGTTTTTTGAAGTGTTGCTCGATTAAAAGGATAATTATCGTAATACCTGAAACGATTATCCTCGAAAGAGTATCCGGGTTGATAGCCAGCAGATTTGGAGTATCCCTTGATCACAACACAATGAAGGCCAGCGTAGCTGTAAAAGCCATTATTACCGAAACACTTTCACATTCAACAGTCAATCTGGGGAGCTCGAGTAAAGAGTAAAAAGAAAACCATAGCGTTTGCCCAGTGATCTCACCGGATGTGGGAAATGAACGCCCTAAAATGTTGCTGTATAAGTCACGGACAGCCGAGTAGTTGGGAATGCAAGCAATGGCGTTTTATGTGTACTAGCAGAGATAACAGTTGTAGTACACTAACGATGCTTACGGAGGGGGTTGACTGGATGCGGATAGAATCAACAAGGTTCTGCTTTGAAAGAAATTTCCCACTGCGGAGATCGGTGAAATGCAGCGGTGTCAGTGAGAAGATTACAGCGAAAGGAGATGAAAGAGAGAAACTTCATAGAAATGTCACTATTATCATATTATAAATATGAATAAGAAGCACTAAAAATGGAGTCATTTAGTGAGATGTTATTTATTGTCAACTCTATATCTTTGCTAATCGCGGCGCTCCTGTCCTTGGGAGAACTTTCAAAACAGGGCCAATGGAAGGTGACACTAGAACTAAGCTCATGAGAAGGGAAATACGCTCGGGAGAACAGAAATTGCTCACATCCTCCACGAGAAACTCTTCCCCTCAGGCTTAGTCCCAAACACAATAATTGGTTGAATCTCTCGGATCCTCCCCCCCCCCTTTAACAACAAGCGCCAGCAACCTAAGCGCCCTGATTGCTATAACAGCCTTTTGCTATTCCTTTTCTTCTCTTCCTGCCGCCTTTAAAGGAGGAATTCACGATTAGAATGAAGGTCGAAGAAAGGGAAACTGACCTAGTTGAGGGACCCACGGACCTCCTGAGGGTGCGAACTGACGCGCAATTCGCATGGAAAAATTTGACCTCGGCGACCTATCATGCCTCAAAGCTGGCGGGTCCGGCGATCTCCGCCCACCGATCATCTGATCACTCGCCGTAGTTCAATACGTGGCGAGTGATTAGATAGCTGAGAGAGCGTAGTGTTGAAGAGGGCACAGCGATGAGAGTCGCATCAATGCTCAAATCAACGGGCAAGGAAGGGGTCCCATTTCTCGGGTTCTGGGCCGTTTCTCATGGTTCTTCCTTCTTTCGTGTACCACTCACCATCCCTAGGTTAATTTGAAATGGGTTGCTTTTTCATCGTGAATTCGTCCTTTAAATATCCACGCGTTGGAATGTAATTCGAATCGCAGAACCTTGTGGATTCTATCCGCGATCTGCACACGTTCTGACGTGTTGAATTCCACCGCAGAAGCCCGCGAAGACTTGCCTCGTCCGGATCGCCGCGCAGCCCGCCGCGCGATTCGCCGCGTGCAACCCCGGACGCACCAAAAGCCCCGCACCCCCAGAGGAGTGGTGCTAGTAGGGGTTCGGTTGTGCGCGCGCTTAGTTCATAACGTTTTCGTAGGTCAGCGGCAAGCACTTAGAGTTGCAAGCGTTTAGGGGTCGTCCCTCTAGGGGTTCGCGCTTAGGAAGCTCACGCGTTCCTCTTCAGTTTACGTTGGTTTCCCCCCTCGCGGTCACCGATGCAACAGGGCGCAGCAATTAGATGGTTTTATGTTTTGAAGGTAGAAGGTGGAGGAAAAAACGTAGAAATCCAGCGTAGTCGGCATCACCACATCGATTGCTCGATTGACCTCAAATAGTCCCGGTGGTCCCGAAACGACCGCAAATGTCCTGCGCAGCCAATCACGCACTTTTCACGACAGAAGTGAGCGGCCATAGAGAGGGTGGGTACGTCCTCTTTGATGACGTTGGACCCATTTCCAACGTCTTTCAAAGGTAAGTTTTCAAACCAGTGAGACATTTCCTATGTACTTGACTAGGGCTAGTGCATGTTTCCACTCCTTAGGATCGAATGGTTGAAACCCTGCTTGGGCTGTTGCTTTAATATGTGCTCTAGACCTCGCCCTCTGCGGCAGGTCAGCGCGAGTTTCCCGCCTTTCCCAATGCTTTTTAGGTGCGGACGAAGGCGAGGTCAACGTGACCTATTGGCCAGCTATAGACTGGCCGTTTAAGAGACTTCACTACCGTCCCAGCTTGGTTCCTACGCTGATATCGGCATGGTATTTTTGAACCTTGCAAGGTAGAGATTTAGTTTTATAAAAATTGAGCCCAGACCCTTTTTGGACGATCACATAAGCCCAGACATAAAGAATCTATAACATTTTGCAGTTACTGCACTTCCCATTTCCAATGGTCTGAGGTCCATTCACGATGACAAGACATGGAGGAACGGACTCCGTACCTGAATGCCTACGAGCGTTAACAGAGCGTTCTGAACATCCTCTACTTCTTTACTGCTCGCTAAGTCGTTACAACCCTTCATCAGTACGTGAGGAAACAGTGATGCTGTCCAATGCGTGTCGGTGGAAGTGGCTTTCGGAGGCACTCCATTAGGCTCAGCCACACTGTACACTTGGACTAGAAAGTGCCAGGAACCCTGCGCCAGTGAGGGGTATTTTTCTACCCAGGCATACGAAAGGAGGTGAGCAATGAAGTTTGGGGTGGGAAGCTGATCATACGCGATAAATTGGATGGGACTTTGATACAGAACATAGGACATAAGCTGAAAGGGATAGACGTCTGCGGTATAACCAGTAAAGTCAACTCGCTAAAGTGCGATCCGCAGGAAATGCAAGAGCTGTGCAAGCACTGCAACGGTTCCATCTCAAGCTTCTCCGCGAATTTAAATTTGAATTTGATTATGCATAGTTTCGAAAATTTCACCTGCATAATCGTTTGAAGAGCACATGGTAGCTTTCTGTGCCATATTTGATTCCTCGTAGCAAACCCATCGGTGTGTCGTTCTCGATTGAGTCGTCAAATATCATGGTGTTCAGATTTTTTATTGTTATCCATCGATAAATCGCTCTATAAAGAATAGATATTGATCACCACTCGTGGTGGTACCTCTTCGGAGGGAAGGTTGATGGTCAACTGCCAATGGCGCTAATATCAAATGCATGAAGGATTGAATACCGTCAATCGGACCTAGTCTTTTATCCGTTCATGATAGCTCACCTAACAGCAGATTGTCTAGCAAAGTAAAAACGCCTGCTGTCCAAACGGTTTTTTCCTATCCCCATGGCACTGTATAGGCACACATTTAGTGCCACTATGGCCGGCGTGGGAAAATGTAATTATAGTATCCCAAGGGAATAATAAGAAATAGTAAAGGGTAGTACTAAGTGGTACCAAATTCATTGTTGTAGAAACTGCAAAACTTAAAAAAACGGCAAAATTTTTAGAGGCGTGAAATGTATTCTGTGAAGTGGCATCCACGCTGGCCTCTCAGTGGGTCAGTCCATCCAAACGCTAGCTGATATGGGCTTATAAGTTCAGTATTTCTAGAACCTATTTCTCTGAGCTTTGTTCGTCACTACTAATGGGGTTCTTCCAACTTCAAGCAACATAGAAGGTCAACCAGAAGGGTACGCTCTCCAAAGTGCACATGCGGTTCACACTATTAGGGGAAGGCTTTTTTTATTTGAATATGATCCCCACTCCAACCAACCCCGACTGGCGATTTGACTGCACTTTCCGTCGTCACTGGAAGTGGACAGACTAAGCGCTGTATGCCAGAACGATGTGTTGGAATGACAGAACTGAGCCTTCTCCATATTGTCCTATGAATTTGAAAACATGGATGTTGAGGATACCCCCAGGAGGCCCGTCGCGCGGCAAGAAGGCAGAGTCGCGGACGAGTCGCAGCGCGTGATGTGCGATGTAGGACGTGCAATGGACATTCTATTTAACTTGACGCGAAATCCCTACAGTACGCGCGCGACTCGTCCGCTGACTCGCCTTTTTGCCGCGCGACGGGCCTCCTGGGGGTACCCGGAGGTGAATATCAGATGCATGTGAGCCCGAGTCACTTCAAACCCACAATCTGACATAATTATTCTTTTGGTTTCCCATAAACTCTTTTATTGGCATGTTCACCGATTATGTGGCTGGGTGCATATGCAGACAACTCCGCCGTAGCAGCAGCTTAGCCAGATGATTCAGGATTGAGAAGAAAGTTTGCGCTGTAACCGCCACTCGCTTAAATACGACCTATAATAGTAATGCAAAACCCTTTACCAGCCTCGGTGACCCTGCCATCAAGCTGAACAGGGAACCAGACAAAGTCTGCCTTTTGTTGGTCGTTCGACCCCATCTTGCAAAAACAAAAAAACCACAAAAAATTGTAGACTCTTAGAGCTGACGGTTCGTTTAGCTCCAAGGCTTAGCCCTGACCTCATGTCAGCGAGCGATCACCTACTCTGATCTTTAGCGCTCTTTCCAGGAAGGGAATCTAACGCTAACCAAAAGTATCATGTTCTCAAACCGACATCCAACATTTCTTTGATCGGAAGTCAATGTAATTTCAAAGCAAAGGCAACGACTAGCCCTCCCCCCTAGGCGAAGGCAATAATTCGTAAATAATAGAAGTGCGCGTTTCATAAGGAAGTATTTCAGATTAATGAGATAATCAAAGTAATTGGCTAACTATAGATCAACCTGCGTTAAAAGTAACACGTAACACGATCCAAACGCTTCCACCAGTCATGCATAGCATAGAAGATCCGCGTAATATTATTCAATCAATCCTCCTGCACACTTAGTTTGGATGGAATACGCCACAAAGCAAGTGCATAGTTGATTGTAAGCGACAAACCGTGCCATGTCAATGTCACTCCGTGCTTCGCTCGTCAACGCTCGGATCAACTCAGTGAACGTGGTCATCTCACTGCGGGCGCAATGTATGGCAACCTCGTCGATTGACTGCAATCACTAGATCTGTATCGAAGTGGTACGGCTAGCAGCATCACCACTTACCGAAAAGTAATCGGTAGATGTGTAGATCTCACGTTTACTGCAAGTTGGTGGTTGTGGTGGAGGAGGGGTGGACGGATAGCCTGCGCTACTGTAGGAACCATCAGCTTGTTCCTTAAGTGACCAAATGAATGAAATTTGTAGAGAGAAGACTCCTGCTTGATCTCAATACACTGCTAGATTGGTAATAAGGCAAATCTCGATCCGCCACCAATTCATCAGTAAACTATACGTGTCAGTGAGCATTTGATAAAAGCTTACTGATCGGGCCTGCTTGAATAAGTCGAGCATTTCGCGTGCTTGCTTGTCAACCAGTTCAGCTGTTTGGTGGCGCTCACGTTCCTAAAAGATGTGTGATGACGGTCTAAAAGGTAAGGCTGTGGTAAGGAATGTTACAGTTTGAGCAGAGCACCGGTGGCTTTGGAGGAGACAAGTATGGTACCAGACCCAATGAAATAAATCTTCCTCTCACAAAGTCCGCCTAATGAGATTATAGATTGTCGTCTTTGTAAAGGATCGTGAAGTCGTTGAAAAGCACTAAATTGATTCATGTTCCTCTGAGGGAACCTCGAGCACTTCACAGACTCAGCATGTCCGCACCCTCCCCCCCCCCCTCCGGGGCCTTAGGTAAGATTATTCACTAGACTGCGTCAACGTTTGCCTACGGATAGCAATTCGAATTTACTGGATAACTAGCTCTTGGTGATATCATCCCTGCCTGAGCAGAGCCAACTCTTCCGCTATTGGGGAGAAGGCAATGCAACTGCGAAGTGCTCACCCTTCGTTTACTGTGTAGAGTTTCAAGTTTCTTCTCTCTTTTGATGGTGAGCTGTCGTATCAAATCGTCTTTGTTTCGTATGTTTGCCTGGCCTTTCTCGTACTTCCTAGCGAAGTCTGCCAATGCACGCTCCCATTCCTCCTGAAATTGATATCATTTTAGTGATCATTCGAATATTAGATTGTTATTTACCTTTGTCTCAGACTCAAACTGTTCGCTCTCCTTCGTCCGCTGATTCTGGAACGCCTCATAAAGTTTGTCCTCGTCACGTCGATGAAGTAGTTCCAGACGCGTTTGCGCATCATAATCCTTAATAAGTGTCTCACATATCACGCATGACAAATACATTCCCTTTCTCAAAGTGCTATAGCCAGAGGAAACTGGGTCTTTGATTCAAGTAACTTTTCGAAGATGTGCGAACATACCACGGCATAGTGGGCTCCTTTATGTACTATTTTTGGATACGGTTTGGCGACTTGCGTTGCTTTGATGGCGTGAGCGATTTTCATGTCTTCCAAGCCAGCGTCTCTAAAATCAGATCCATGAGTTAGCAATGTTTCTTCTTTTTCGAGAATGATGTTGCCTTCGCCTTGATAAGCCAACGTGTGAACAATTTCTGCGGACTACTATTCGACTAGAGCGGCTTGCATTGCAGCAGGATCAGTGTCTATGCTTAGTGGTGGTTTCTCTTTTGAAAAAGCTTGCGTTCAAAGAAGCAATGCAGATCAACGTCATTGAAGTGCCGAGAAGTTGTGCCCCAATGAGGGAACGGAAGTCGGCCATGTACCCTTGGAAGAGAGCTGAAAACGGATACAGACGAGGAGAGAACGATCACAAGAACTCTCAACACAGAACGCTGTCATTTCAGACTTATGCGAATGCAGGGTGTGGAAAGCCTTTATTTCGTTGCTCTCACTGAGCACCTTTGAGCAAAAATTGTTTCCTCAACAGAAGGGGAAGGAGGGATGGAGATTAGATTTGCGTTGCACGCCCGGGAAAGGTCAGCTGACCAAGTCAAACCTTTTCATTTCGCAGCTGCCTCCTACGGTTACCGTCGGACTCCCACGGGTCTGTGTCTTTAGTAAAAGATTAACACTTCTCCCTACTTCACACCTCTACCTCGCACCTCGCCAGGCGCCCTCAATTAACTGGTTGCGCTGCCTCGTAATTTTCCTTAACCGATGCCACTTACAAATTATTGTTAATTTTTACAAATAAATATTTTGATGTAATTGACAATGTTAAGAAAAGGTCACAGGGCAGCACAGCCAATTAAGTGAGGGTATCCCACAAGCAGGCCTGGCGAGGTGCGAGGTAGAGGTTTGAAGTAGGCAGAAGTGTCAATCTTGTACTAAATTCCCTCACCCAGCTCCTACAGGCGTGACCATGAAAATGAGCTCATGACCAATAGCAAAATCAGAATTAGTGACTCAATTCGACTTATCGGAACCGTCCTACAGACAGCACTGTTGACAAGCGGCCAATGTTTCAATTCAAGGACACAATACTGCCCACCTCACGCGCATGGACCACTAATAAACTATTTGTAAATGTTGACAAGCAACTCAGCGCCCCTGCATAAATCACTCGTCAGAAAGGACACGTGACTAAACTAGGACTACGAAATGGGTAAAAAACGCTTCTCAAATTCGACTAACACTCCCAAACCTGCGCGCCTCAAGAATCCAAACTCTGGATTTCGTTTTGATGGGCAAAGATGAGTCACATTTCTAGACATTTAAAACTGAATTGATTAACTTAGCTAAATTCGAGTCGAATGATATCACTGAAAATTGAAGAGTACAAATCTACAAATCTACTTGAGCTCCATGCCCTTCCTTATAGCCTTCTAACCCATCTACATCAGAAAATTCTCCCGAGGGATCATGGTGAACGACTCGAACTGAACGAGTTCATCGACTGATCGTGAGCCATTACGAGAAATGCTGTACGAGGGGTCTTGCTCAATTAAAGCTGGTTTGTTGAGGCGATTATCTATCAACCAACCAATTGAAAAGCTTTGAAACAACTTCAGGTTGGAGCGGCTACTGTAGACCTTCATGAGCTCGACGGTGATGGCAGATGGTGTCATATTCTAGACACGACGGGGCAGTGAAAGACCTGCTTCGATTTATTTTTTTTTGGGGGGGGGGAATGGGGTGGAGAGAAGTCTAAGGAATATTTTGCTGTAAAACTTCTTACTTCCGAGCAGAAGTGGTGCAGTGGCAAGTGAGTGCGCTCTACCACGCGAGCGGTCCGGGGATCAAATCCTGGGTCGTGAGTCGCCCGGGCCAACCAAGCCTTCCATCCCTCCGGGGTCGGTTAATTGGTACCAGACTTGTCTGGGAGGATAAAAACACTGACTTGTACATCGGCTGGCCCCGCAAGTCATTGTATAGGCCACATCACACTCAATCACCGTTGCGGTTCTGGATGGAAGCACTTGCCTTTAATCAATCCCGTTTTGACGCTTAGCGCATCCTTAAACAGAATTGATCAAAGGCGAGTGCTCTATCGTTTATTTTTCAGCTCTTCAAGGCTGGTAATGGTGCTGGAGGTCATGTCGAGACTCCCTCAAAAAGGACGTCATGATTGACTCGGCCTCAGCTTACGTTAGGTAGTATCGCTCGGTTTTCGTGCTTGTTTTTTTCAGAAGATTCCGTTCCTGAAGTGCAAAAAGCCGGGGCAAAAAGTTATAGCGAACAGAGCAGTAGAAGGAAAGATGGATAACTTAACTCAGGAGTTTCATTGCATCATAATACCGGTTATTTCTAACCATTTAGTAACCCATTACCTGAATACAGATTCTTCAGTGAAACAAATTAGGACTGCTGTTCCTTCAGCAAGCGCGCTATTCAGCAGCGTAGACCCGTATTGCATTCTCAGCTGCAATAAGCATGGGTAGGACGAATCATCTCGGAAAGGATGATTGCGCGTAAAGAGTTCACAGCTTTCTCAGCACAGCTGTTCCAGTCCGACTTTCAGCATCCCTTTTGCATTAGCGCCCAACATGCCGATAAAACTGAATTTGTTACAGGAATTCCAATTTTTTTCAGCTCACAAACATCACACTAATGTTTAGAGATGTTCGTCTTATGAGAGATCGAGAAAAGAAATCATTGAGTTCAACCTCACCGTCGATAACCGTTACTCGTCTTCCCAGTGCCGTTCTCTATCGGTGAGCCATTGCTGCGCGACAGCGGCAAATCGTGAGGACCAGCGATCGGGACATGATTCGCGCAGTAAACTTCCTGAAAAGATTTCCCATAGAAAACGAAAGAGATCCGATATTGCCTTCGTCAACGAACTCCTTCTGAGGTCCATCGCAAGCATTTTGGCCATTCATAGCTCCAACGGCTCTGATTTACTGAGCCATGAAATCGCCCTCCTCGCAACAATACACCGATGTGTGGGAGCATACAAGCTTGTAGGTTTTCCCGTTTACCGAGCTTCCGGTAGGCTAATCTCGACAAACTGGGCAAGCCTATTTCCAAAATGGAATGAAAATGTGAGGGTGGAGAAAGTGTAAAACCCAAGTGACTTACGTGGTCACGTGGACGACTAATTGGTTCTATTATGAAAGAGTCAACGCTATCCTACCAGTCGTCAAGCTCTACCCTCCTTCGAACTGTATATGTGCCTTCATGGAAGGCTCGCTCTCGGGCAATATTTAAATGTGTCATCATCCCGATTTTTGCGCCGCTTGAGTGAACTCTCGATTCTCCATAAATAATCGAAGAACCAGTTTTGAATGAGGAAAAATTTTTTCATAAAAGGAGAGGAGTGATTCTTTCCTCAACAGCACACTCGCGAAAGGGTCCATAATGGAATCAATCAAGAGGAAAACTGCACTCGAATTCTACTAAAGAAACTGGAATTACAGTAGCGGTCAAAAGTGTTTGCCGGAAACGGTTTTTCGTGCTTCTCTTTTTTTGCCAGAAAAAATCAATGGTGACCTCGAAAATTTTTCTTTTGAATATCCTGATTCTTTAAGGATATAAAAACACTAGAAACATAGTATATCAATCTTTGAAGACGTTGTTCAAGAGAGAATTAATAATGCGCTAAAAATCGTTTCGGCGAATACTTTTGACCGTTACTGTATGAAACCGGAAACTTTGCCGGAGTTGCGATTAAAACAGGATTCTGTCTTTCAAAAAAAGGCCATCTTAAATGAGACGGCAAACGTTACTTCTCTCAGTAGAGATATTCTTGAGGGCATCGTGCAGGGAAGAAGCGTGCGGCTGTTTCCACTAATTATTGGTACCTTGGGCCCTATCTTTCCTTCATAAATGTAGCAATAAAGCGAGATGTTAGCAATTTATTTGGTATCAAGGAAAGAACAAGAAATACTACAAAAAAGGTTATTAATTAAATTCTCGCCGTAAAGCTCACAAATGTCTCCGGAGAAAAAAATAACACACAGACGAACACCTACTAGGAGGATTTCTTCTACAGTCAGAGCCGGTCTTGCATTTTTGCGGGCCAGCAAGCTTCCTCCTTTGACGGCTCTTTTGCATCCTTCAAGCGTTCTATAGCAACTCATTATTCTTCAAGCATAGTTGTCACTGTCATTCATTCTGCTACTCAGTAATGTTCTCTCTAGTTTTATATTATTGTTTCCTGTTGTTTGTTCTTGTGAGCCGATCGTGGGCGGCCATGGTGAGACATCGAAAGAGTGGAGGACTTCCGATACCTTGGAAGCGATCTGGCAGCCGACGGTAGTGTGGATCAGGCAGTGAAGGCTCGGGTCAACGCTGCATGGATGAAATGGAGGGAGTCCACTGGAATCCTCTGCGATCGAAGGTGCTCCAGAGCGCTCAAAGGGAAGGTGTACCGGACAGTGGTAAGGCCTGCGATGCTACGGCAGCGAGTGCTGGCCCCTGAACAAGAATCACGAAAGGCAGCTTCACTCCGCTGAAATGAGGATGCTGAGATGGGCCTGCGGCTGGACGCGGCTGGACAGGGTCAGAAACGAGGATGTCAGAGCGGTCATGCAGACTGCCCCTGTCCAGCTGAAGGTACGGGAACAGCGTCTGCGATGGTATGGGCATGTGCTAAGGAGGCCACAGGACCATCCGATAAGAACAGCGATGGACTTCGAAGTGCAAGGCAAGCGACCGCGAGGAGCCCCAAAGAAGAGGTGGAAAGACGTAATCAAGAAGGACCTAAGTGAAGTCACGGCCACGCAGAAGATGCCCTGGACAGAGCAAAGTGGCGACGACTGACAAAGACAGCGGACCCTGCGACTGCGCGGGACTAACGCTAGGGAGAAGAAGAAGAAGTTGCTGTTTGTTTTACTTTAACGTTGTCTTATACAACGTACTAAAGAAAGATGAAGGTAAAGATAACACGTTTGGTGTTCCACGCGTAAACATTAAGAATTTCAAGATTAAATATATCTGTATACCCAATTCCTCTAACCGATCTCTACCCTCCACACATTTCGTTTCATAAACCCCTATGACCTTTCTAGCGACAGTCATATATGAGATGAGGTTTTCCAGGAAGATAATTCACTTTGAAAGACCATTCTTATCGCTCGCCACTTTGCACGTAGGTCCTCATATAAATATTATATAATCGCGCACAAAACCCATAATGGGAAACAAGGAAAAGGTTGTTTTAGTACGATATCTCTGAGCAATCATTATTCGGAGTGATTTCTAGAGCACCTCAAAATTTCAGGATCACGAGTAAAAGTAAAATGGTTCCGTTTTCCGATTTCGAATTTTGCGAAGCAAAAGTCGTCTCGGCGCTCATGGCCTTAGAAGGGAGGGGAAGAGGAATTCAAAACAGTGCATACAAATCACGTTGCTAGGTAAACCAAGACTAAGCCCAAGCTCACATTCTCCTCCGAATTCCTTCCTTGCCCTTGGGCTTGGTTCCAGGCGTACGGCAAGCGTCTCATTCACTTGTCTTCCCCCCTACAGCTACATGAGCGCCGTCATTTCTACTGCGAAAGTTTGAAATCGGGAAGCTTTATGGTTAGTCACGGTGCCATAAGCAACGTTCGACATATTTAAAATCGGTCATACATCTATATAAGTACGTATAGAAAGCTACTTCGATTGGGAGAAAGGTTGCCTTCGTTTCGCTTGAGGTTGTGTTCTGGAAAAAGGACTCGGCGCTGTCGTTTGAAGGGAGGGTGGGGTGGACATCAAGCTAGTGAGCATTTACAGAAGTTAAGATTAAAACTTAGGGAGGGAAAGGGGCGAGGATGTGAGCAATTTTCCTGACATTTGGGCCCAGTCCTGGTGTCACCTACCATCGCAATTTTTAGATGCCCTGTGTAGAATATGCTCCCTTCAAAGACCATGAGCGCCACCGGTTCGATGAAAAATTCACTCAAAAATATGTGTGAAGTCCAAACAACTTGCAAGCACAAAAGAATTAAAGCTTTCTGTTAGTTCTGAGACTTTATGATTGGAGAAATGGAGAGCTACTGCTCGATTAATATAACAGAACCAGTGTTATAAAAATTGAGGAACAGCAGATGCTGTTGAATTCACAGCGCTTCTCAGAGAAACATTATTACATAGGATACTCTATTGGAATTCAATCCAAAGGAAAACATAAACACTGTGGATACGGTTTTCCGCGCCTGGCAATCATGCTGTATCAGTGGTCGGATATACTTGGTGCACAAAGTGCAAAAGACTTATTTGTGAAAGCCCAGCTAACATCCAAAGAAATTGTTTACGGAAGACTCATTAGTCTACCTCACCCATAAATCACTGACCTGAGAGCCATCATTCCCGACAGGAACGGAAAGAACAAAAAAAGGTGCTTGTTCTCGAAACAGTGCGATTGACTCTTGAAGGACTACTGAAGGTTCGAATTCCCGCCGTACCTTTGCTACGAATGTTGGCGACGGGGCGGATTCCACTTAATTCTAGCAGTGTCTGCACTAGGAATTCTTTTGGGCCCTCTCCACCCATGGCAATAACCCATTCATTTTTTACGAACGCTTTAACACGAACCGTTCACTGATAAGCATGACACGTGGCTGCCGCAAGGTACTTGATTCCATGAGTTGCCCCTAGTGGTCATATATGACGTAATCATGCTGAAAAGGATTGCAAGAATGAACGATTCACGGAATATAGTAGACCATGTTGGACCCCCAGCAGTCACGGGACCTCTTTTTCTGCGTAATCTTGATGCCTTCCACTGTGAAAGAATTTCCTCCACCTCCTCTGCATTTCCTCCTCTCCTCTCTGTAGCAACATGTGAATAACCAAGAGTGGGCTAAGTAGGTGTTTATATAGCCACTGTTTGTTATCACAATCATGCCATTGCAAAACATTGATAGGGCAAGCCCTGCGAGCTACCCAGATTTGTTAGCGGCTTGTTTATTCCATTAGCTGCCTTATCACTCACTTCATTTTGCGGACGGACAGACAGACGTGCATACATACACACAAACAAACCGACACACCAAACTTCTGGCTTTATATAATGAAGTGAAAGGAGAAGAGCTATAGCCATAGATGGGAAAGGCCAAATTATTAAAGGCACTCCAAGAAGAAGTGGAATCGCTCAGCTCGCCAACATTTGTGATGTAGAGCGGCAACATGAACGCGTAACTGTTCCTCGGGTTCTTCGAAGTATTCACGAGGAACAATGTAATTATTTTGTCGTCTTCGTTCATATCATGAGCGATGGTCCCAAGAAAGTGAATTACGGTTGAGATAGAATAACAATTTCCCCATGGACGATTCCTTTGAAGGCAACTGTCGGACTCAGCTTCACTGAGATGTCCCTCCCGGGGCTGGAGGTGCTAGATTCGCGGCTGTAGAGGTCGTAACAACTTGAGCCCCTCGAAATGCCTCACTAAGGTGCTTAGAGCCCACGATTTCAATTCAACGACGCCTTGACAGCCGCCCACCGTTCGATGTCTTCCCTGCGTCGTATCGGGTGATCAGCTGCGTTCTCTCAATTCAAAATTCTCTCACCCTCTCAGCGATTAACATGTTCTCCTACTTCGTCTAACTGTTGACTTCTCCGCAGCATAGAGTGAGGAGGTTCGTATCTTCTGCATTTTTGACGACATTGTTTCACTTTTCTCCACTTATGGTCCATCTCGCATCACTACTTTAGTATTCAAGTGCGACAGCCACATTGAACTGATCCTGACTCTCGCCCTTGAAGCGAGGGGTGACGATAAGATTGGATTGGTTCCATGCAGGGTCAACCGTCCGTTGGGCAACGTCCAACAAGGGGATGGGGGGTATTTTTGGGGGTAGAA